CACACTCAAGCTCCTTGTATTTATCCTTGTTATTGTAGTTATCCTAATCATTATAGGATTAGGATAATCATCCCCTTTATTTGTAGCAATCCTTATCTCCTAAGGAATATGCTTTATTCTCTTGTATGTATATATATATGTGTAACCACGTGATTAATAATACAATGAGAGTTACAACCTTCTTCTTTATTCTTTAACATGTATCATTTTTTTAGGACTTTTGTCTTTTAAAAATATTTTTATTATTTTAGCGGATCTAAATCAAGATCCGAATCTAGATATAATGGATATTACAATTTTTGGATGGATATTTGAATCTCAAATATTTAGAAGATACGGATCCGTCGTACCCCTAATTCTATGTAGCATATTTTAAAAATCATTATTCCCTTTCCATAATCTTTTCTTTTGTCTTTTGAACTTTGTTACTTTTGTTGATGTCTCATCCATAAGGTTTAACGTGCGTTCATATTAGACTGCATGCAAACATTATGATTGCAGCTCAACTTTTTAACATTAATAAATCCTTTACTAAAGATTATGCGGGAAGATCTTGAACAAAAGACTATGTTTTATATAGATGCACGATAAATTGGGAACGGATATAGTAATAGTCTCTTTTGCAAGTGAGACACAAATACATTTTTATACTATAAATTTGCATTTTGTATTTTGTAGAAAAGGGACTAGGATCTCAAAGAAAACAACCAATAAAATAAAAATTTGTAAACATTTAATGAGTTCTGTTATTTTATCGAATGGAACATTCTTGTCTCCTATTTTGATATTGTTGTCAATACTCAACACTACAAATATTTTGATTTATTCGATTACAAATAGAAAATTACAAAGTATCAATGATGGGACGAACCAAGAAGGTCTAAATCCGACAAGATTAATCGGCTGAGAGGCTGGTTAACCAAACCGAATCCTTTTCTACCGACTTTTCAACGTCGTTCCTCTGCGACTGCCATTGTGCATGACTCGCATTCACCATCACCAGTTGACCATTACTGAATCTTGTTTCTCTAAATAATGATATTGCTGGAGTTGGATCTTCGTATAAATATATGAGTTATAAACATCATCAAAAAATCACTTAATGTCAGTAATGTAGAACAACTTTTGTATATAACGAGCATTTTACGAAGATCTTACTTTTTAGCCAGGCCTTTTTTATTTCCGCCATCTCCAATGTCAATATAAACCGGACTACATTGTCGTATTTATCTTGGTGCACCCGGTTCTGTCAAACAACTCCAATAGTTAGCTATGCGTATCCAAAATATTATTTCAACTTTAAAATACATAATTTCGGAACCCTCATAGACTCACAAAGCGCTCGTAAGCATGGACGTGACCGACGAAAACCAAATCGGCACGAGCCTTACAAAATGAGTTTCCATGGACTTTTCATATATTCACTCCTCTGTTTCTCTCCTTGTGGGCTTTGTTAGTGTTGTACCACGGCGCGTGTATCACAGCCATTATTACCACGGTGTGGTCTTACGATTGATGCTTTTGACTTTTGAGATCTTTTTCTAACCATTTGTATTGATCCGAGCTAGGCTTAAAATCTGCGTATGACCGAAAACGTTGAAGGAATAGTACAAGTTCGAGGTCGAGGCACTCTCTTCAAACGGCATGCGCCAGTGCCACCTGCCACAAGTATATAGAAATATCAATTTTTTTTTGAAATATCAATAAATTACAAAACGCTAACCCCTATGTTAACCGAATCAACAAAATTAATATTTTTAAACCACATATATCTTATAAAGCTTAATTTTAAATGCTAACCTAAAACCGCATAAATTTTTATTTTTAATCTATCTGTTAATAAATGTTACTTTTGATCCTAAAAACATGCTAGATGCTAGTTGGACAGTACAATTGGGTTAAGCGTCTGAAGAGAAAATCAAAAATTATATGAGGCATATTTTTTTGATTTTTGATATGTTATAAAATATATTAACCTTTAATTATGTATAACATTAATACATTTTCATATTTACAATTTATAAAATACACAAATAGAATATATAATCTTAATATTATATTTTCATCAAAACTATAATTTATACGTTATATTTATTGAATTTAAATTAAATAAACAGATAACTGTTATTAAAATATAAAATATATAAAAATAGATCAAACGGTTGTCGGGATAGCTAGACAATCAACTAAATAGTCTAGATGGACTAAAATCAAATGACCGATTTTTACAACAATTTGGCATAAATCGAAAAAGAAAAAAGTCGTATAACGCTTAACGGTCGCCTAGACAACTGTTTTTCAGAACATGGCTTTTGATCAAGATCAATTTCACATGACAATTTTAAAAATTTCTCACGATAACCAAACTACTACTAATTTATAATATTCAGATCGGGAGTGATTATAAATATGTATATTTTATCAATTCACACTTCACAATCACAAGTACATCAAAGAAAATAAAGATTAATACATTGAATAATCAATCGAGATTAAAAGGAAGGAGTGATTCTGATGAGTAAACCAGGGAAAACATCATCGTGGTCATGTATATGAGGATTCCCTTCAACGATGTATGGATCTCCACACTTCTCACTTATCGTCTGCAACGTCTCTCCTTCTTTCACTTCATATATCTCATCGCATGCTGGCCGCCGATAAGAATATCTGGGGATTATCATCGATGGTTGCTGCTTATGCACGATGGTATTCGTGGAACCGGCCTCCTCTTCTACATGGCAGCAGTTCATCAGCAGCATCATGGCGGCAAACACAGCGCAGTACCACGAGATCTTCTCTGCTACTACCATGGAAGCAGAATGAGAATAGCTCTTAGCCATTCCAAAATTTATTTATGCAATTTGGTTATAACAGGTGTAGTTTTGATACTTTTGTGATTATATGACAAGGGTTTTGTGGATCTATATGTAATGATGTGTGTATGGATTAAGTTGATATAGAAGATGTTGGTGATGTTGTTGGAGTTGGTGTGAATATTAGCGGGAGTTGAGATGGTTGTAATGTTGCAGGTTCTTTTTGTGTTAGGCCACTTGTCTAATTTGAATAAATCTTATTCAAATATATTCATGACATCAATTACTAGAAAAGAATACTCGAATACATATTAATTTAGATAGGTTGACCAAATGGTAGGCTTGGGCATTTTACCCGGACCCGAAGACCCGAACCGAAACCGACCCGAACCCGACCCGAAAATTTATAAGTACGTATTTGGTCTAAATTTTTTTTACCCGAGTGGACCCGGACCCGAAAAGAACCAATCCGAATAGACCCGGACCCGAAAAGAACCAACCCGAATAGACCCGACCCGATAAGAACCGATTTGTACCCGACTTATAAACATATATATCCAAAACTATTATTTTGTGTTATGTTTTATATATCTATACTATTTTATAATTTAGTTGAAATATATTTTGTTAACAACATTTATTATTATTTGTAACATTTTTAAGTAATATAAAGTTTTAAAATGTAAACTTTAGAGTTTAAAAATGTTTTTTTAATTATTAATAGTTTAACTTGCGTTATTTTATAAAAAAATTAGATATATATGAAAAATATTGACTGAATTTGAGCATGTTATATATTTTTTAGATTCTAAATACCCGGACCCGATCTGGACCCGAAAAATTACAGGTATTTTACAGGTATTGGAATTATAGAACCGAACCGACTCGGACCCGACAAGACCCGACTTGGAACCGACCCGAAAAATTATAGGTACCCATATGGATCTAAATTGCCAAGACTCGAAAGATCCGGACTCGATAGGACCCGACCCGAGGACCCGGATACCCAGGCCTACCAAATGGTTAGATCATCATATAAAAGATTTTTCTTGTATAAATAATTATAATTATAAATATACTTAATTGAAAGATTATGAGCTAAAATGATGTAGAGTGTTTTTTTTTGGATAAGCTCAAGCTTAAGGGGATGTACACAAATTAAAAGAGCATAGTCAACTAATTCATTGGTTTATTTAATTTAGTAATATTTCTATTTTCTAAACACTCAAAGAAGAATGTTTTAATTTCTGGAAGCTGGTCAGTAGTTGATGCATTTTATATTATTTTTCAAACTACTAAGTCAAGTTTGCAAAATTTTATTTGGGCAAATTTGAGTATCCTAATATCCCACCTACCCTTCTGTAACATCAATATCCTCAGCTTAATAGCCCCTTTTAAAAAATTAAACATTTTCCACGAGCCTAAAACTCTAATTTTTTGCTTAAAGATATATTATTCGTTATCACATATGGACCCATAACATTCCATTTTCAATCAAACACTATCCTTAAACACACATGGGCCAAACAAAATCAAGCTTAAAAATGCAGTATTTTAAAACCAACGATCAAAAAAGAAGAAGTTGAAACCAGATATTGAATTTTACAGAGAACCTATCACAGTGTTATTCATTCATCTATTATGTGATAATGTTTTAGTATGCTAGCTATATTTCCGATTTAAATTTTAACTAGTTCATCCGCACGGATTTTGTTTTTCAGACCGATTTTGTTTTTCAGATGAATTCTATATAATTTAGTTTTATATAGTTTCGAGTTTGTCTAATTCAATTTTATGTTTAAAGAACAATAGCAAAAGTGTTTTTTTTTATATTAATAATGTCTAACAATGTATTATGTAGATGTAAATGTGCAGCGAAAAGACTAATTTTGTACGTTTGTTCGAAGTGCAATATTAAATTAAAATTTAACTGTTTTTGTTAAAAAATAAATTGAAAGTTTAGTTACTTCTGATTTTAATAAGTATCCAAAGTTTTTCAAATAATATACAAATTTCTGGAATTTTAGGGTCATAACCTTTATTTTATAGGTTAGGTTATCTTCAAACTTAACTTTGGTCTTAACTTTGCAAGTGCAAAATATTTTATGATAAACAATTTCTTAAAATAAGTTAACAAAAATTTTGGTAATTTGAAAAAAGTTATGTATTTAAAATATTATTTAAAGTAGCATTTTTAAATACAACCGAAACAGCGGTTAAACTGATGATCCGATAATTCAATTTTGCTTTTTAAAAATATCCATATTTAAACAATCACTAAAACCCGAGACTAACCGATTGAATTGATAGATAACTAATATGTAATATTTAAACCTGTAAAAATAAGTTTATTTTCGTTGTTTTATATATTACTTGATTTTTTTTTAATTTATCTAAATAATTTAAAAGAAAATTGTGAGAAATTATTAAAAAGGATGAGATCTAATATTTTGTATTGTTTGGACATAAAATTAATTATCGTGTTGTTTGGAAACATAGATAGTAGTATAAAAATAAATATATTGTTTTGAAACATGAATAATAGTATAAAGAAATAAATATATTGTTTGGAAACATGGATAGTAGTATAAAAAATATTAATGATTTAATGTAGGTTTAACTATAAAATAGAAAGATGTATTTAATTTAAAAATTTATAAAATAAATGTTGGGTCCAACTTAATGTTTTTGATTTAATAAGATAGAAGATAACTAGACCTAGTTTTAACTATTATTTAAGTTAATGGATTTCCTCTGTTTTTTTTTTTTTTTTTTTCTGCACGTCAATGGGTTTTCTTTTTAGAATGTGTGTCTATGAGAAAGAAAAACATGCAAATGTTCATATTAGGCCTAGTCCATAGGTCCTCATTTTCATAAAGCCCAATCCACATATTGGGATGCAACTGAATTTGGTTAGAATCGACGAACCATAGTTACTAACTTACTATTGAAGATGTGAAAGGTAAACTTGTGGTTTAGTACTTAGGCTATAATATGATGTAGGCATCTCATATGATGATTCCCATTAAGTATATCACAAAATTCGTATAATACGAAACATATATGGTTTTATTAATGTAGAGAGTTGGTTTAATGTTGGTTCAATGTTAGTTGGTTTATTCTGGTTATGATCAGTATATTTGGTAAGCTTGTAAACCGATATACTATAAATGTAACAGATAACACCTGAACAGAAATAACAGAAAAAGTTCTTTCAATTTACGATCATATCTTTCTGGAGAAGAACTAATATGGTATCAAAGCGGTGAGGCTCAAACCTCACTCGATCCAAGCTTTTCGACCTCAAAAATGGTGATCTCATGGAGAGCATCGCGTCGTCTGGGAAGAGGATCATCATCGGCGAGGAGAAACTCGAATCGCGAAGTTTCACCACCAGAATCACCGATCTCTTCACCGAAAGCTTACGAAAACATCCATTCTCCATTTTACCTAACAAACAGTGATAATCCAGGTCTGATGATCATCTCTGAAGTCTTAGATGGTACGAATTATGAAAATTGGTGTATAGCTATGACGATTGCTTTAGATGCGAAGAACAAATCTGCGTTTATTGATGGATCTCTAGCTAGGCCAAATGATTCTCATCGTAGCTTCAGGATCTGGTCTCGATGCAACTCTATGGTAAAATCGTGGATACTCAACTCTGTTTCGAAGCAGATTTATAAGAGTATTCTGCGTTTTAACGATGCTTCTGAGATCTCGAAAGATTTGGCCACGAGGTTTCATATCACGAACCTTCCGAGATCTTATCATCTCTCTCAGCAGATCTGGTCTTTACAGCAAGGATCTCTGGATCTTGCTGCCTATTATACTACTTTGAAGACCTTATGGGATGAGTTGGATGGTGCTAGTTGTGTGGGAAATTGTCGTACCTGTGATTGTTGCAAAGCTATGAATAAGAAGGTTGAACAATCTAAAATTGTGAAGTTTCTGTCAGGCCTGAATGAATCTTACGCGATCATCAGGAGTCAGATCATAATGAAGAAGAATGTTCCAGAGTTGTCAGAGATTTATAATCTTCGTGACCAAGATTTCAGTCAAAGGAATCTCAGTTCTATCACCAATGCTTCAACCTTTCAAGTCACATCGAATGCTCAATCCCCTGCAGTGGCTTATGCGGCTCAAAACAATTATCAACAAAAGCAGCAGAAGCCAATCTGTACTCATTGTGGCTATACTGGTCACACTACAAATACTTGTTACAAGATTCATGGCTACCCGGTTGACTTCAAGCACAAAAATAAGAGTGAGTCAGAGAAGAATTACAGTCAGCAGAAGAACACAGGGACTACTAAACCTGTGGTTGCTCAACTTACTCTTGGTGCAAATGAAGCTCATGGACAAGACATATCAACGATGGTTAATAATCTCACCAAGGATCAGATTCAAGGCGTGATAGCTTATTTCAATTCTAAACTTCAGCCTTTGAATAATTCATCTGTGGCTTCTATTTCAGGGGCTAGAATCACTGCGTTACCTGGTATGGCATACTCTACTTCTACTCTGAAATTTGTTGCTATATTGCAGGCTACTAGCAGTGTATTGGGTTCTAAGTCATGGATAGTTGATAGTGGTGCCTCGCATCATGTTACTTGTGACAGAAATCGTTTTGAAACTTTTTCAGTCACATCTAATGCTTCGGTAACTTTACCAACTGGTCTTGGGGTTTCTATTGAAGGAGTTGGGAATGTGAGATTAAGTGATCATCTGGTGCTGAATAATGTTCTTTTTATACCGGAGTTTCGACTCAGTTTACTGAGTGTCAGTCAGGTAACCAAGGACTTAGGCTACCGGATTATGTTTGATGGTTCTTCTTGTATGATACAGGATCATATCAAGGGGATGATGATTGGACACGGTGAAGAGATTGCTAACCTGTATGTGCTAGATACAAGTTCCCTTCCAGCTATACCGTCTAATGAAGATTTAAAGTTCTGTTCTTATGTTGTTGCCGATTCTACTATCTGGCACAATAGATTAGGACACCCTTCTATGTCCAAAACAGATTCTTTAAGTAATGTACTTGGTTTCAAAGACAAGTATAAAAATCATCACTGTGCTATATGCCATCTTGCCAAACA